CCGACATTCTCGATGATCTTAAAACTTTTGAAACTCTTGCTGATCTGGTGAATATTAAATTCATGATAATCTTGAACCTCAATAGGCTCTGGATGATCTTGTTGATCTGAAAAACTTTAAATGCGTGCCTTTCCTGATCCTGCTGATGTTTCTTATGTTCCCGATGTTATGATGCTCATAATCCTTCTGACATTCTCGATGCTCCTGAAGCTTTTGAAACTCTTGCTCATCTGGCGCGCATATAATACATGATACTCTTGAACTTCAAGAGGCTCTGGATGATCTTGTTGATCTGAAAAACTTCAAATGCGTGCCTTTTCTGATCCTGCTGATGTTTCTTATGTTTCAGATGTTATGATGCTCATAATCCTTCTGACATTCCTGACGCTCCTGAAGCTTTTGAAACTCTTGCTGATCTGGCACACACAAAATGCATGATACTCCTGAACCTCAAGAGGCTCTGGATGATCTTGCGGATCTGAATATCTTTGGATGCATGCCGTTTCGGATCTTGCTGATGCTTCTTTTGTTTCATATGCTCTTTTGGATTTGGCACATTCTGTATGCATAATGTTCTTGACATTCCACACACTCCTGAAGCTCCTGATTATTTTGGCTCAGTGAATGTTGGATATTCATGATCCTGCTGATTCTTTTATTCTCCTTGTGGCTATTGCAAACTTTTGCTCTTATCGATTCTGGTACATCTTAACTGAACCACTTTGCTCACCCTTTTGACTCACCTTATGCTCTCATTGCTAGTGATGATTGTGGCACAAGCTTCTCTTGATGCTGACTGTTAGTTTGATGCTTCCCGGTCACTTTTCAGGAATGATGTACCTGATGCTCCTGATACTTTTAATGCCTTTTTTTTACCTTTTTCAAGCTCCTGCGGCTGCTGATCTTGTTTGCGCCATCGGTGATCGTCGTTCGCATTAAATGTATAATTCCATTCATCCTCTCGCTGCCCATGATGCTTTTCTGGTTCATACTGATTCGAGCACACCCTACATGTATTCTATTCATGAATTTCCCAATGCCACAGATGCTTCCGATTCTCTTTGTGCTCTCGATCATTGCGGCAGGCTTCTAAAGTGCCATGTTCTCAATGTTTCTGATGATTCTGGCACAATCTAAATACATGATGCTTCGTATACTCTGACTTCTCCTGCTTCTAGTCCCGAAAACTTCTGTTGCTTGTGATGCTGTTGATGCACCGGATGCGTCTGAGGCCTTTGAAGCTCACCATATTTCAGATGCTCTCAATCATTCCCGATTCCCTTCATAGTTTAGATGCTGCTGGCATCTAAAAGATGTGATATGCCACAGGCATCCGATGCTTTTGATGTGATATTAATGCCACTACTATCCCCGATGCTTCTTGTGCTTCTGATATGCTTGCCATTTCTCGGGCATTCTACCTTCTCGAGAGCCGCAATCAGCTCCAAACTAATCATATTCTCCTGATGCTAGTGATACTCTTCATCATTCTGGTGCTTCTGATGTTCCACAGACTCCAGCTGCTCTTGTTTTTCTCATGTTCTGATGCTCTTAATGGTTTCGATCAAAGGCAAAATGTACTTTGCTCACCGACACTACTGATGCTCTTGATGATTTTGATGCTCTGTGTGCTCTTTGTACATGTGATGCTCGTGAAATTGCAAATCCAGCTTCTACAGATGCTGTTGACGTTCGTGGAGTGAAACGAGGACAGAGCATCAAAGAGGCACGTCCTGAAGCTGAAGACAGTCTGTCTTCAAGCTCCAATCTTTTCGGAGCTTCATGAATTGTACAGACTTTATTATTCAGACACTCGTCACCAAATGGATGTACAAGTTGGAGACTTTATGAGACAAAATGGCTACAAATCGAAGCAGATCAGCTTCCAGTTTGCCGGCTGGATACAGTTTTTCCGTTTTTCCTGCCTCATGCCAAAGAGGTGGAAAAATCCACGCTCTGCGCAGTCACATTCGAGAGCATGGAGACAGAAAAATTGTTTGATCGGTCTCCCATTTCGGACGATCCACCAGCAAATCCCGCCTGTACGCTGTCATCTGCCAGATTGGTCATGCCATTTTCTAGCCTCTCATCGCCTATTTGGTATATTTTGCCGCAAACTAGACTTCGCCAAACCGACAACTGAGGTCGATCCCTTGACAGACTTGCTGGAAAATAAGTGTGCTACTTCACTTGTCAATTTGACGATGTCTGGAAGCGAAAAAATCTCGATGCATTCCACAAATTCATAAACAAATTCACATTTGAGGTGGAGGAAGTTGGGCGTAGGTGGAAACCACCCAAAAGGACACGCCGCTTGAGCAGTCCAGTACCAACAGGCTAGAATGTCGAGGATTGAAGATGGCCAGATGGTGTCTTTGAGGAGTCTTGGCTCGTTTCTCACAGATGGGGCGGTGGGGGGCGGGCCAAAGGTCTGAAGATGTATCAATTCCACGGTCCGATGCTACAAAATTCAGTGACTGTGGGCAAGCTCAAAGTTGCAAAGGATTGCCCATTCAGGCGAAGCCGTCGGAACCGACAACCGGAGCTGAACAGTTACTCACCGAGTCCAGACAGTCGACGGAGATACGCTTGACTGACGCTAATACAAGCAAGTGAAGCGTGGAAGAGTGCTTCGCAAAAGTCTGTCCTTTTGGAGGACGCAAATGAGGCTTCGCGATTTCCGGCTTCTTCCGACGCTTGCATGACCGTGACGAAATAAGCCACCAAGTGGGCAGGAGGAAAGTCAATCAACCGGAACGCATTTGGAAAATCTTCTCGGTTGATTGGCCGCCTTTTAACGCCAACTTGCTGATTCTAGGCGATTGGAAGATTGTGTCAAAGCACGATGAGGCTAAGCTCGGCGGTTCAGTCATGCATGACGGCACAACTGTCCGGGTTCCGGTGCTTGGCGCAGGAGGCAGAAGCTACTCTTTGGGATGTGTCGAAAGCGTGATTCTACTCGACCAAAGAAGACGTGATGTACGAGATTAATTGGCTACTTTTAGTCTCATCGCATCTGGTATCCGCTCGAATCCGCTTGATTAATGCTACTATTTGACTATATCGGTTCTGGTTGTTATTCCAACCATAATTTTGCTTTGGATAATAATAGTGATAACAAATTGCATTTATTATTATTATTAATATACTGCTTCTAATTTTGTTCTGATTCTAGGTCTCAGCCTGAAAATAATAAGAATAATCAGGTGAGTGTCAATACAACTCAACTTGATGGCTGATTCTGATTATATTTATGATTTTGCTGCTACTAATTATTACTAAAATTATTATGACAATTCTGAGTACATTTTGATTTTAGCGTGATTCTAATTCTGACTTTGGATGCAATAATAATGTCCAGGCGAATGTCAGCACAATTCAGCTTTCCCATCACTGATACAATTCATGGAAGGTATTGCAAACGGATATCTTGTTCTGAGCATGATTCAGTTACGAATAATGACTATTATTATCATCATTATTTTATTATTAGTTTGCTTATTATTTATTTTATTCTGATTTTGAACATGATTTTGATCCTGAGTTTAATACTAATAATCTAGAGAATATAAGTAAAGTCCAGTTCACTCATGAAATAATAATAATTATTGCCAGTATTATTAACAATATTATTAGGTCTATGTTGATTTTGTATAATAAGTACTGTTAATACAATTATAAGTCT